TGTGATGCATTGGCCATTGGTTGGGGCCGCCCGTTGCGGAGGTATTGTCGGATCTGGTGTACCAGTGCACCCTTGATTAGCGGTTTCTCTTTGTGCTGAGGGGGGCTGAGTCTCGTGTGTTTGCATCAGCTTCATGGGAAGCTTAGGTATGACATTGACAGACTGAACCCTGTCTCTGGCTGCTCTTTGAGCTATGCACTACATAAATTCAAGCCTTTCGGCTACCATTTGCTGCGGTTGACGCCGGCCGATGCAATCTTCGTCCATGAGTCTGTTGCGCCAATTATGGAATCAGGCAGGGTGTCCACAATTCTAACGGAAACACACCCATTCTGAAGAGTTGACCATGCTCTTAGCATTTTTTGATTGATTTTGTGTGTTCCAAGTCAAGTCAGAGAAACATCCCATCCCAGATCCTCCCAAACGATCAACACATCCCTATCAAAGCAGCAAAGAATATGCAATTTGCCAGCTTCTTCACACATGTTTGATGTGCTTGTCACCCCGTGAAGCGCACGCTTCAGGCTTCACATTACTCCGATAGAGCAGCATCACTGGAACACGGCTGACATTTTGCTTTACTCCAAACGAAAGCATTTCAGCCTCACTCTTTACGGGCCTTTTTGAAAGGCCTCTGCAAAACAGCCGCTGCATCAGCCTCCTTAAGGGCTGCTTGCTGCAAGTCACTCAACGAACGAAACCATTGCCAAGCCCAGCTTTGCACACCCATGACTGCAGCCTTTTTTTTGCGCAAGGTCCCCTTCACTGACAAGGGTTCCCCTTCTGCCTGAAAACTCAGGCTCTTAGACTTGCGGCCTTCGAAGCCAAATCCGGCAAATAGCATTGCGCAAATGGCGATGATGATGATGATGATGATGATGATGATGATGATGATGTAGTGTTTCCAAAATATGGCTTGACTGCTGGTGGCCAATCACCAACTGGACGTGGTCGAGGCAAATGAGCTTCATGAGAACCATGAGCATCCGATACCAGAAACACAACCCAAAAACGGAGACTGCAAGTGTTGTAAATTACTATATACATCAAAAATAATCAATGAACACCCAATGGAGCCTCCTTCTGCGTTCCATCAGCAATATGGTTGTTTGCATCAGGCTTTTGCCCTTCTCCACACGAAGCTCCAGGTTGAGAACCATCAGGGACATGTCCTCCCACTTCTGCACTCTGAGGATCATCACCAACAGTTCCTTCTGAAGCTGCAGGATCATTCTCATCCGAGTCATTGATCTCTTTGAGTGTCTCTGCGATCGGATCGCTTCATCCTCAGTTTCCCTTTCCAAATGATCATGTTCACACTCGTCAAGAACGCCAAGCTTCTCACATCGAAAGAAGGAACTGGAATGTATCCACCCATCTCAAACCCCCTGAACAAGCTCTTGGACTCGCCAAAGATCTCGATCATGTCATAGATACGGGGTTCCTGGCGGGCCTTTAGCGCAACAGCTTTGGCTTCCTCAATACCCATGGCAGGGGGTCGAATGACTGGCGGGAGCTTGGCCATGGTCAGCCAAACGCACATCAAAACACCCCAGTTCGTGCCAAAATGCCTTTACAGAACACTTCTTACATACAGAACGATGATCATTCTGGCATGCGAAACTTTCATGAGAATGCGCGAACTGACACCTAGAACATTGAGGACCAAATGTTGTTCAAAAGCAGCCCCGCACAACACATGGTGGGTGTCACATTGTTAGTTGTGAGTCTCGCCTTGCAAATGCATTGCAACGACTGTGCTGCTATGCTTGGCTTCACTGCGCATTCGCAGCATTCACCTTCTCAATTCCCTGCCTGATCTGCCGCTTTTCGGCATCAGGCTTGGGCACCAAGCTGCCACAAGACGAATTCTTATGCTACCGGAGCAGCACCTTGTATGCGCAGTGCCGCCCTTACTGGGATGCCAGGGGTCGTGGGGATGGGACGTCAATGGAACACTGACATGATCGATTTGAAACAGTGATAGTTGGCCAGATATTATGGTACATATAAGTCAGGATTGAAGCCACTGTGGGGAGCAGGCCCCACCCAATCTCTGAGACAGCAGCCAAACAATTACACCGACATAGACCCCAGATAGCGGGTGTTTGGGTTTGTCATCCCTGGCATGACATGACGTCATTCCTGGGCATAACATTATGTCATTCTGGGCATGACATGATGTCGATCCACAGCCAGCACCAGCATCAGCACGGCAGCAGCACCAGCACCAGCACCAGCACGGCAGCAGCACCAGCACGGCAGCAGCACCCGCAAAACCAAAACGCCGACCCACAGCCAGCACCTACACCTGCACCAGCATCAGCACGGCAGCAGCACATCGCAAAACCAAAACGCCGACCCAGAGCCACACCATTGAGAAGTTAGAGCCCCCATAGCCTTCAGCTATTTGGGAAAAAGGGACTTATGGAAATTACTTAGTTGCCAAGACCGTGAAAGCTGTCTAGAAGTTGTGTTGTATGTCATGTTGTAGCGATGACTTGTGCCAGCATGTGCCAGCAAAACTTGGTGACTTAGTGCAAGGGACTCGTGAAGGCACCTGCTATTGCATAAGTCCACATGTATGCAGCTGACGGCACGCATGACGCACAACACGCAGGTGCTTAGTCTCAGACTTTGGTACTGTGTATGTCCTGCTATGCGCAGCTTCTGTATAAGTTAGGCCTCCAAGTGCACCACTCAAGTTCATTTTAGCACTGCTCGGCCCAAACGAACACACATCTTAGACTTTCACAGAATTTTTGGAGGTGACTCGAGCCATTTGGTGGAGCTGGTTGACACATTACAAGCTTTGAAAAGTTTGACGAAGTGTTCTCAAATTGCTTGCGTTTGATGAGATGACATACCGTGACATACCACTTTTTCTAGCTTGCTGAGGATGCCAGGGAATTATGTTCGCGAGTGGTTCTATGCTCCGCACCCAGCAACTGCCTTTAGCTGCCCAGCGGAATCCTAGTAGAAGGAAGATGTAGAGTTCAGATTGGCAGCAATTCAAAAAAAATACACCAGCCACCAGCATAGACCCAGATAGCTAGGCAGAATCCCACGACCTGTTGACACCCGACTGGCTGGAACAAGAATGTACGCAGCCTGCGCAGCCAGCTTACGACACCTCGCACAATCAGCTGACAACAGCGCCCGACCAGCGCCGCCGCCCGTCTTAAACGCGCGCTCAGCCAGCTCACAGCACCAGCACCCAGGATCACAACACCAGCACCAGCACCGACACCCTTTCGAAAGCGCGCAGCCAGCTCATTCTTATTTGCAGCAAGAACCCCATTATCCTTACTTGGGGAATAACAACGTATGATCTTGTGCATGTAAGTTTATGCGCGCAAAAGTACGCGGCAAAGCCCGTAAGTGTCATTGTCCCAAGGCCAAGCAGTATCCAGCGCCACCATTGACTTTCCAGCATGCTTGAAGCAACGACCTGCAGAACGATAAGGCCGTATGATCTTGCGCGTATAAGTTTATGCGCACAAAAGTATGCGCACAATCTGCAAAGCCCGTAGGCTTCACTCGCCCGAGGTCAAGCAGTATCCAGCACGACCATTGTGTGTGTGTAGCATGCTGAAACATGCTGGTACAATGGGCGGTCGGGAGCCTGACGCACAGAACATTAGACGTACAAAAGTATGCTCGCAAACAGTACAGCCCTTGACACAGCTGTCGGCCAAAACAGAACCTGAAGGGTGTAAATACCCCACAGCGCTAATAGACAAAGAACGCTCAAGCGACAACACCGTATGATGTTGCGTGCATAAGTTCATGCGGCCCATGACTGCTTGCGCTTCATTGTCAGAAGCGGTGCTTGGTCGCCCTTCACTGCTGCAAGCGGCGGTTTGTTGCCCTTCACTGTCAGAAGCAGCGGTTGTTATCACTTCACTGTCAGAAGCGGGCACCAGCACCGAGCACCGGCGTGCCAGCTCACGGCGCCCAGCACCAGCACCCAGCACCGGTATAGCACCAAGCACCAGCACCCGGCGCCCTGTCTCCACCACGCGCACAGCCAGCACCCACCACCGGCGCCCAGTCGCACCACATCATGCCAGCTCACAGCACCGGCACCGGCGCCCGCTGTCTCTACCATGCGCATTGCCAGCACCCAGCACCACAGCCCGCACCAGCGCCCGGCACCGGCGCCCAGCACCGGCACCCTGTTTCCAGCACCGGCAACCTGTCTCGAAAGGGCGCGCAGGCAGCTCATTGAAGAACCCCATAGCTTCGCTATCCACCGGCGCCCAGCACCAGCAACCTGTCTCGAAAGCGCGCACGGGCAACTCATTATTATTTGAAGTAAGACCCCATAGCTTCGCTATCTGGGGAATTTATATAGACTTGTTAATAAAACCCACCAGTTGTCATTTGGATTGTGAAGCCTGCCTTTTCATATTCGGGGGTTCTTCCAACGAGTCTACATTCGGTGGATGGCCCTTGTCGCTGTTGTCCAAGGCCGAATATGGTCAAACATCTCCTCACTGAACAAGGAGATCGGCCGGGAGGATGTTCCATTTACCTTGGATTTCTAGCCAGCCATCAGTGCTTGGGACAAGCCGTCGGAATTGGACACATTGGGTGGATGTGCATCGAAGTGTCCATGTGTGCGTGGACAGGTTTGCGTGCGGCATGTGCGATGGTGATGGGATGAGTACTGGATGGTGTCAGCTTCGCTGAAGGTGCCGACTACAACTCGTGACGCAGATTGCTCAACGCCAGCTCCAGCATTTCCGAGACTGAGCTATACTGAGCTTATCATCCGAACTGCCTGAAGGGTGAAAACTGTTTGACCTCTGTGTCAGTTGGCGCAGAGGCAAGAAATAGAAACCTGTGAGTGCTGGTCAATGGACAGCCTACAAAGTGATAAAGTGCGGCCAAAATTGCCCGAGCTCAAAATGAGGATGAACGTGTATCATGAAACCAGTGGAATTTATTGTCATCCATAGTGCAGGTGGGTTTAGAGCAGTTGCATTGTTTGTCAGGCAGTTCCGACCCGTGGCAAGGCCATAAGTCAATGCTATCGGCTTTCGACTTCAAGTGGAGTTTTTGGTCGCACAAATGTTGATGTCACTAGAGAGGTTGCTCCAACTAGTCATTTTGTGAAGGTTCCTGTTGGAGCAAGGCAGCGAGGCATGCACACCTGCCCATTGAGCCACCATACATACATACATACATAAATACATACATACATGGCTCAAGGTTTAAGGTCTCAAGCTGGCACGCCCCATAAAGACCAGCTGGTGCGCCTCCCGCGGCGTAGCGCCACGTGATACATCGAGTTTGATCTAGGCACTACCGCCTTTGAGATCATCGATTACCCTCTTTCTTTGCCCGCAATTGAGGGACAAGGTCTTTGGCAACCCTTCAAGGAGGACTACCACCTCGTCACCTCAACTTGCGGGACTTCCTGACCGCTGGACAACTCCTCTGAAGGTTCCTTTGACCTGATCGAGGAAGGGGCCCTGATCTGTGCCAACATCCACAAGAATCTCAACGTCCTGGAGGAACGCCACATCCTGCAAGATGACTTCATGGTACAGCTTGCAGCAAGCCAACCTGCAATAACTGGATTTGGCAAGACAAACTGTAACCAGGCACACGATGCAGACGATGTGGGACCAGTTGGACTGGGGCTACTTCCAGTACCGGCAAGGGCAAAGGCTATGGGAAGCCACCCAACCAGGCCAACAAAGGCCAATATCAACGGCCAGCTCCTCCACCAGGCCTACAAAAGCCCTCTGGCTCAGAGGTGCATCCGGGGAACTCAGCTCCAGCATGTGCAGGGGACACGGCACATACTACAGCTGAACTAGCTAATACAGGGGGGCTCACAACTACCAATGCAGGGACCAGACATTACAAGGTAGTCCAGTGCACACCAATTATGACTTTGAGCCTGATACCACACAGCACCATTTTGACAATCAGGCACCACCGGCACGGGGGGCGATGCATGGTGGTGCTTATCTCTCCATTCGAGGAGGGGCCACAAGCACTGAAGCCAGCGCATCGAGCACACCAGGAAAAGTCTCAGGCATGCAAGACTATGCCACTTCCACGGACTGCATCCTGCAGAACCTCACCATGGCGGTGGGCAACCCAAGTGCCAGGTGCTATGCAAATGCACCCTGGCGCGGTTTCACCTGGATATGCGCTCTACTCCAGGAAACCTTGGGGAACACTCCAAGAGGCTGTACAAGAGTCCCTGGACACAGCTGAGGCAGTCGACGTCCACACTTTGCCAGGACTGAGGGATTTGTGGAAGCAACACGACCTCAATGTTCAAGGTGATGCCAATCACTTTGTCAATTCTCTATGGCTCCTCTCTCAAAGCAGGGCATTTCACTACAGGTTTGCTGAGATCAAAGAAGGAGGTTACCTCACAGACCATGTTCAACCGCCCATTCTGGTACCATACCCAGATGATTGGCCGGATGATGTCAGTTTCCAGCAGCTGATCAACAACTGGGCAAACCAAGGATTGAGTCAATACCTCATGGATGAAAAGAAGGTGGTGATCTGTCCGACCAAACACAGCAAACCGCTCAATCCCTATGGCACTTTCACCATGCCCAGATCACTGGATGGCTTTGCACGCACATCGACAGAGTTCGTGCCAGCAGTTCTGATCTGTCACCGAGGCCAGACCCATCAGGAAGGGCACTACTTTGCAATCCTCATTTACAGGGACTTGATGTGGATAGCAGATGATGGAAAGGTACCAACTCACCTTCCACATCTCACGCCAAGCCTGGCCAGCCAAATCACTCAAGTTTGGGCAGTCAGTCTATACTGTTTCAAAACCCCGCAGCAAGTCCTACTTGGACTACCAAAGCCTGTGGGACCAGACTTCGATCCTCCACTACATCCAAGCCCAACGAAGAAAGCCAGGTATGCCCAGGAACACAACGTCCTTCACTTTGGCAACGTAACCCACATGGGTCGCCAGGTGATTGACTGGTACTGGACCAGAGAAAGTGGCATCTACATCTTGGCGGAAACGCACTTGGACCCACAGAAGCACTATGAGATCTGCCAGTACTTCAGCATTCGAGGCAGAACTGCTTTTGGCACACCAGCGGCACCCAATCAGGGCAATACTGGAACACATGGAGGCCTATTGGTGTTGGCAGACCCAGCATGCGGGCTCACACAGTTTGAAGACTTCACCATCCAAGGCTGTGGATACCAAAGTTTCCTGTGGCAGGCAACGGAAACGACACAAACTCTGCCATCCTGGCAAAGTTGCTGGCACTGTTGACGCATACCACCCATCCCTATGTGGTCATCGGAGATTGGCAGAACCAACCTAGCGCTCTGGCAAGCACTGTACTTCCAGCCAAAATCCAGTTCGGGATATTGGCGCCAGATCATAGTGTTCTGTCAGGAAACACCATTGACTTTGCCATACAAACACCATTGACTTTGCCATACTCCACAACACCCTGGCTGGCACCACATCACTCCTCACAGAGTGGGCAGCACCATGGAGACCACATGCTCTCCTCAAACTGCAATTTGACATTGAGCAGCCACCATGGAGTACCGCCAAATGCAGCACTTTCCACCACTGCCAAAGGTACCGGACATCGATTTCCGGCCATGGACCACGTACCAACATGTGGTCGAGCTCTATGGCAATCCACCCAATGATCCAGCACAGGCCTGGGCCGATTGGATCTCCAAACTTGTCCAGGAACATCCCTGGGCGCCGCAAGGCAGAGGATCCAATCTACATGCAGCGCACAAGCCGCTCATGCCTCGTCCCAAGGGCCAATCATGGAAGAAAGGAAAGCCGGCATTTGGGGAACAACTACGAGCCCGATTTCATCTTGCTCTGCAACAACCTGACACCTGCACGACAGGTCCCATTCGAGGATTCACAGGCAAGCCCACCAGCATTGGATGGGAGCTCCCACCTCGGGACAGTTCCTTGACACGTGTCACCATTGGCACAGATACAGAGACCCGCATGCAGGCGAACTGATGCTCCAAAGCATCAATCATCAACTCCAAGAAGCTCAGACAGCTGCAAATGAGGAAACCATGCTCCAGTACAAGCGGACATCAAAAAGGGCTTCGTGGACCCTTCAGGAGCTTGAAGAGTAGTGAGTTGGCCTGGGAGAGACCCTACCGCATGACACCAATGCCACAACGTATGAATCAACGTCTTGCAGATTGGGGAGGCCTCTGGAACATCCGACAGGACAATGACCCATGCCCGAGACCCAGTCTACAACAGGCAGCACAAGAACAAGCCCAGAACCTGGATCCGATCACACCAGGACTTCTCGGCCGAGATGCGGTCTCCACCCAACTGCTCAGGAGCATTCCTCCGCTGGCATCGACTCCTTTGCTGCAGCTGTATCAAAAGATGGAGAGTACGGCTGAGCTGCCCACACAGCTGCAAATGCACCTGGTAGTGATGCTTCCCAAGAATCCACGGCTGGAGAGACCAATAACACTCACATCCACATTGTGGAGAGTGTGGTGCAAGCTACGCAAGCCAGTACTGGACCAATGGCAGCAACAGCTACCAGAGTGCATGAACCATGACAAAGCCCGGCCAGGAGCTAACGTCCTCCATGTCGCCCTTGAGAGATTGCTTCGCCAAGAGGTCACCAAAGCCCGGCAGCAACATGGCATCACGGTGCTGATGGATATGTCCACCTTCTATGACACAACAAAGCTGGAGAAACTGCAAGAGGAAGCAATTCAGCTGAACTACCCACCGCTCCTCCTTGAGTTGGCCATGCAACTTTACAGTGGACCAAAAGCCATTCTAGCAGAGCAAGAGATGACCCCTTTTTTCCATGTCGACAATGGGGTCCCAGCTGGGTACCCACAGGCGCCACTCCTGGCAAAAGCAGTCCTTGCACCGCCCTTGATCCCATGGACGGAAGGCAAATCACCCCAAGGCCTACTTATCCAGCTGGGTGGATGATGTCGGTTTTGATCTGGCTGACACAACACCCATGAAGGTGGCACAGCAGGCAGTTGAGGCCTACAGGGAGCTCCAAACCCGTCTGACCACTTTGGGCCTCAAAGTCAACCCAAAGAAAACGGCTTTCATTGCCACTGACAAGGCAACAGATCAGGCACTGAAGTGTCTATGAGCCGCCAGTCTCCTCTGTTATGAGAGATTTGGGCATTGATCACCAGGCTGCGCGACGAAGACGGATCCCAGTCCTCAGACAGCGCTTCCAAAAGGCCAAACAGAGGAAATTCAGGCTCCGGACACTGAAGATTCCAGCCCTGAAAATTCGGTTGAGATTGCATCGAGGAGGACTCCAACCGGTTGCACTGGGGGGGATAGAGGCACAAGGCCTAGCACCAAGGTACAGGACGGCCTTAAGACAGGCAATGGCCACCCACCTTAGACATCGCGCCGGCGGACTTTTGGATATAGCACCTACCTGCACAGCACCAAATACATTGATCCGGCAGATCAGGTCATCTTGCACCACATCAAGGCCATGCACACCTTCTACCACAACTGGCCGAGGGATCAACTCCAGCACCTTGAGCAGGCATGGGAAGAGATTCACACAAACCTACAGCAACGCCGACACCCATGGTATGTGGTCAAGGGCCCTATGGCAGCTACCATAGCCTAGCTGATGGAATGGCATTGGCAGGTCGACCAACTCCACAGATGGACACGGCCCGGCACCACTCTCATGCTTGACGGTGAGATGTCCATCCAAGATCCATGGTGGAAGCTTGAACGAGCCCTCCTGACAGAAGCCAAGGCTCAGCGCACCGCCCGGCTGGCAAACAGAGAGCACCACCAACATCTAATAGCAGGCATTGACTGGCACACCTACAGACAGATGATTCGTACCATGCCGGGAGAGGACAAACCACACCTACGGACGGGTCCAAGGAGCCATCCACTACAAAGAAGATGGCAAACCCAAGCTTTGCCCCATCTGCCAGGTCCCGGCTACACCGAAGCATATCTTATGGTTGTGCAAGTGGCGCCAAACTCAACCAGCCAGAATGGGCAGAGCGCATCCTCTCTCAGGAGGAAACGCCCATATGGAATGCCGGCTGGATTCCACTTGAACCAGCGCCCGTATCAAGGTCATGGCACGTGGAAAGACTTGCAACCCTTGGCACCACATCAATACCAGGGATGGGCACGCAACACCGTCCAGCTACGATCAGCGCAGTCAGCTTTGGGTGTTCGGCCTTTGTGCCTTTGTGTTCACAACATGTCCATGGGCCAACTCCAGAGGCTCGGGGCCATAACAGGCATTCCCACCCCGCCCCACACCAAAACCAGGGCACTCATGGCAGGCCTTGTAGCGCTGGCCAAACACACCACCACGGCAGTGCGAGTCATCGTGCAAATGGTCACAGTGTGGGAGGCTTGGACCCAGCCCAAACATCGAGGGCCTTTCTTGGACCAGCTTGAACAGCTGACCGACGCAGACTTCCAGCGAGTCACGGTACTCTATGTGTGCCGTAACACGAGAACGCCAGAAGCCCCAGGCAATGAGCCACAACTGCGGCGACGGCAGAGGGATGCCGCTTTGGTAGCTTGGGAGAGAGCCAAAGACCTACAGGATAGCCGGCAAGAGGAATGGCAACAGGTGCTTGATGAAGACCACAAGCTCATCTACACCCATGCAGTTGCCCGGCTGGCCAAGATCTACAACAACAAAGACCACTATATACAGGAGGGGTATTTATTTTTGTTTTTTTTTGGGTTTCTTTTTGGATTTTTTTGTTTTTCGTGGCTTCTGGCTTCTGGCTTCTGTGGCTTCTGGCTTTTGTGGCTTTTGGCTTCTGTGGCTTCTGGCTTTTGGGGCTTTTGGCTTTCGTGGCTTCTGTGGCTTTTGGCTTTTGTGGTTTTTGGCTTTTTGGCCTATCCATCTATCTGTCTATACCTATCTATTTATCTATCTATCTTTCTTTCTTTCCTTTGGCAGCTGTTCTCCTTTCTCTTTTTGTATTTGCTTTTCCTGTTGTTTTCGTTGCAGAGACGAAACCAAACGAGGAAGCAAGCAAGCAAGCAAGCAAGCCAGCGCGAGCTGCTCACCTTTGGATCTGGTGTGCTGCTGGGGGGG